TTACCCTGAGGCTTCCAAGATAAACTAAAGTTCGTCCCTGGAGGTAAACAGTGTTGAGAAGCCTAATGCCTATGGCTCCAGGCCCGCTCCAAAGCTGGGCTGTCTGCTGCCCCCACTTTATCTGCCAGCAACCCCTTCCCCGGGGCCCCTCGAAGGTCACTTCTCTCCCTGTTGTCCTGGCCACACCCGGGGCCAGAAAACAGCCCTCTTGGTTGGCCTTCCTGGTTGTTTTTTTTTTTTTTTTTTTTTTTGCTTGTAAGCATTTTCACTGTTTTCAGGGAATAGCGGTTCAGCTTAAAAAAGAAAAAAAGAAGGCAAAGTAATTAGGCAGGCGGGAGAAAAGGCCTAACCCCTCGTCCTAGAAGGAAATGGACACAGGTACAGTCCCATGATCATGATTACCTTTATGGACCTGCTGGCCACAAACGGATGTTTCTGAGCTGGGTCCCAGGGCCCGCTGGGGAAAAAAACCCCACTGCAGGCTGTTTGTGCAAAACTAGCTGTTTCCAGCTAGAAGAGCATCATATGGTAAAGCGCAGACACCAAGAACTCGCACTGGTGTAGCTTTGCCAGTTTCCACCCGCTGATCTGTTTGGCTCCCTCCCACCCCAATTCCAGCCTCCCTCTCTAGGTGCTGGGGTACCTATAGGGCTAAGCAGGTGCTCTCGCTCTGCACCCATGCACCCAGGGACAGCTAGAACAATGACATGCTTTCCGCACTACCTGATGAGGAAACAACAAAGTAGTTGGTGGGGGGAGGGGCAACCAGAATCCTATGGGATGTCCTTAGGCTTATTTTAGGTTTTCTGGAGGATGGGAGGCTGCGTAATCCTTCTCTTCAGTGCTCAGACCCTCTGGAGGTCCTAATTGGCCCTTGCGGCCACCACAGAAACCACAAAAGATCTAGATGCTGAGAAGGGGGAAAAGTACTTTGGAACATGAACATTTCCTTCTCTGCAAGCTGTCTGCGGCCGTCTGGGATGCAAACTATTTTCTATGGCTACTTATTTTTTTTCATCTTTCTTCTCAACTAGACAGGCCTAGAAGATATAGGGTCTCCATCGCCCATATGCCTCAAGCTGCACTTTCAAAGGAGACCTGACAGATGCTTCATTAAATACTAGAGAGGCGAAATTTGGCTAGGGAGGCGGGAGGGTGGAGGCCAGGCCCAGGAAAGGTAGAGGCCTGCTAGAGAGGGGGCAGGAGGAGACAGAAGGCACACAGGCTTGGGAGGACCAAGAAGGAGGGCTCAGCAAAGTACTGCTTTCCAACACCAGGGAGAACCCGCCTATAGTACACTGTTAGATGATCCCAGACTCCGGGCCCTGCTGCTGTCCTGCTTAAACCTGAAATACTGGCTCTTCAGTGCCTTTCGCTAAAGGCTGAATTTCTCAGTGCCCAGCACAGAGCAGGTCCTTACTGACACCGGCGTGAGGAAGCAGGCTGATGAGCCTCCTCCCTTCCTATCACTGCCGTTCAGGGAAGGACTTCAAAGACTTTTTTGTTCATACGCTTCTCCTGTCGTGATCACTCTTGGGAGGGTCAAAGACAAAATGATTTGGAAATGCCACAGAAGGGAAATATTTGGGGCCACTTTTTGTCTCAGCAGGGGGCTTCAAGCCAACTTGTCCTCCTGAGATAAGAACCTGAGAGCCCTAACCTCTGTGGGTGACAGAGATGAGTGCGTCTCAGACAATAGCAGCTGCCCCAATCCTTAGGTATTTCCAAGATACCCTAACAGCTAGAGCTCTCTCTGGCTCTGTCTCTGCAGGCTCGTGGTTCTTAAAGTGGCCCCTGGACCAGGGGCACTGGCATCACCCAGCCGCTTGCTAGAAATGCAAGTTCTCGGGCCTCAGGAATCTGGGTTTTAGCAAGCCTGCCAGGTGATTCTGAGGTGTCCTCCAATTTGAGAACCACTGCTTTAGAATCGGGGGAGACGATGCCCTAGTGTTTAAAGCACGAACTCCCAGGGAAGATGGAACGCACAGGTTCATTAGGACATCCGTGTGTCCTTCTCGGCAGAACTGACCCGGGAACTTTCCGCAAGGATGGAAGCGCCCACCCTCTGTGCCAATCAGTGCGGCAGCTTCTGGCCATGTGTAGCCATGAGCAGCTAAAAGACAGCTCCTGGACTGAAGAACTCGGTGGTTAAGTTTATTGAGTTTACACTGAAATTTAAATAGCCACATGTGGCGAGGGGGTGTCCTAATGGATGGTACAGTTCTAGAAAGTGACCAAACATATGTATATATAATCTTATTCAACCCAGTGTCTAAAATCCCAGTGATATCAATGTTGAAACTACACTCCCTCAGATTCTACCTTATTCCTCTGGATCATTTCCTCCTTCATAGGCCCTGGCACATAGCTGAGGCTCCGAAAATATTTGGCAACTGACCTGGGATTAACCTAGTTCTGTCAGCTGTAAAATGGAAGGTATTTATTCACTGGCTGATTGATTGATTGATTCATTCAACTTTAATCAAAGATTTGCTGCTTATCTCAAGTTTGCTCTAGCAAATTAATGTTTTGAACTTTTTTTTTTTTTTTTTGAAGCAGTTTAAAGCATTATGTAAAGTAACACTCTGTAAATCTGACAAGACTTCAGATGTAGGACTGGACCCGGGCGTGAGTTAGAATTCGGGAGGGTGGGGGGCAGTAAACCAAGCTGTACTTGGGTGCCCTGCCATGAGCCTCTAGGATTTGAAGAAAAAGGATGTAATCCCGGTCAACCGCCAGAGGAACTTCTCTCTGTGATAACACCGATCTGTTTCAGATGGCTCTGCCTGATGTCAGGGTGAGTTCAGGTAGGTGACGGGGGTCTCATTTTTCAAGATAAACATGCACTTTTACCCTGCAACCTAACTCTGGCCCTTAGCTGTCCCTCACTAAGGAATTTGTATACAGACGACTGCATTTGGAGTACAGAAAGATCATACCCCCAATTTAAAAAAGAATTTTATTTTAAATACGACTGTTAAGCAGTTTAGCCAAATCCGCACTGTCCCTGAACACTAAGGACACCTGCCTGAATGTGCACTCCTAAGCAGGAAGACGTCTGCAAAGTTCTTTCTTTCTCTGGCCTCTGGGGATGCAGCTCTAGCCAACACGGGCTGAGGCTCAAAATCCCACTTGAGGGACTGGCCTGGGAAGACAACAAAGGCTTCGAACCCTCAGCAAGAATCTAGGTGACCGATGGAGGTGACCAAGTTCTGTGTGGACCTGGACCGGACTGCTGCCACCAATCTCCAGTGACACTGGTACCCAGGGCTGTCATACTTGGCCCCAGCCGTGAATCTGTCTGGGGGTTCTCAGAGAGATAAGGTCATTTTGGGGGCCTAGTTCCTTTAGGCTGGGTTTGAGGAGCCTGGTAAGGTTCCGGCAGTCCTGGCAAGGTGTGGGGCCGTGTCTGTCAGATAGGCAGGGGACCTGGGGCACCACATCGCTGCAAATGGGGGTCACTTTCAGGGGCTCCACCTCGGATGTCTGGGCAATCACTAGAGAGTTCTGGAGAGGTACAGGAGGGGAGACAGACATTTGGGCTCAGACTGGGGCTCCAGGCAGAACTAGGAGGAGGAAGCCAGCCAGAAATTTGGCAGTAGGCAGGCGTGTTCTTGAACTATAAATTGCAAACGAGGGGGAAACTCGGACACCATCTAGTCTAGGGATATCAAACCCATGCTTCCCACGTTTTCCACCCTCGCCCAAGACAGCCATTAATAAGGACCAGCAGTCTTTCCCACCAAGCCTCCTAACAGTTACAAACTGCTCAGAATTTGCAAATCAATAAAATCTCATGACCTTTTTCAATCTGTATGAATCATCTACCTACAAATGAAGAATACTTAATAATTACTCACTTAATCCTCATGGCAACTCCATGAGAAGGGACCATGTGGGAGAGGAGGAGACAGTAGCATAAAGAAGTCTAGAACGTTCCAAAGTGTGCATGGCTAATGAGAAGTGGAACTGGGCTCCAAAACCGGGCACCCCTGCTCCAGAGATCACTGGCTCCCACATGGACGAGATTCTGGCTTGGGGTTTTATCATGGAGTGAATGAGCATGTCGGTTCTAGAATATTTTATTTGTAGATTCATGAAACCCCAACATTTACACTATATTAAAACCGTTCTAAGAGACGATCATGATAAAGGTGTAATCACCTTTGTAAGCTTGCCAAGTCAGAGTGTAAGAGCTTTTATGAAAAGCTTCAGAAATGTGGCTCACGGGGCAACCATTTATGGTCAACTGCCTTTTGATCTCTCATGTGAAAAATATGTACTTACATATATTGCAGGAAACCTCACCACTTCCTTCCTAAGTGTTGGTCAAAAACACTAATTACCTGGCTAATTAGACTGTGAGGCTTCCCTTACACATGGTAAAAATGAGCTATTCACCCCACAAATTTCGTGGTGACATGCCACCAAAAAGTAGATGTGTTTCAATGGTTTTACTGTAGACCCCATGAACAATTTAAGCAAATCATATAAAAATAAATTTAGAAACTAATGAAAATAGGGTTGCTCCTTCGCCAGGGGGTGGGAGGGAATAACCTGGCTGTGTGGGAATGGAGAGGAGGCAGGGGGCTGCCCGGGAGGGAGCATCTGCTTGGAGAGCAAAGCTGGAGGCCTGGTCCCAGGCCTGGTCCCCATGAGGCAGGACACCCCAAAGGACTCATTAGCCCCAAGTGGATCCGTGACTTTTAGGGACGTGCTTTTCATTCCACCTGTGCAGTCACTGCTTCTCCCTCAGTCTCCCCCCTACACGTTCCCCGCCCCGGAAAGCACAGGCTGGCCTGGAAGCCGGACGAGGCCTTCCTTCCGCTCTGCATCCCCAGTATTTCAGACCGCCGCATCCGCCCGCTTGCCCAGAGAACGGGGACTGACCGCGATGGACCAGTACAGACTCGGGTTCAGGGTCGGTGTGGCCTCCGCACCCCGGGGGGGGGGGGGGCGGCTGCGGGCAGAAGGAGACCCATCAGACGCCGGACACTCACCTGCGTCCAGGCCACCTGTAGCCGCGGTCCAGCCCATGACGGGGGGCACGGCCCCCACCACGGCGCCCACCCACGTGTTGGCGATGCTGATCCTCTTCAGCGGGGTGTAGCAGCAAGTGTACAGGAAAATGTTGAAGGCCCCCAGGGCTCCCGTGAGGGGGTTCACCCCCCAGGTCAGGAGGGCAATCCCCGGGACGGCACAGCAAGTGGCGAAGGTCACAGCGAGCAGCGGGCTGAAAAAGAGCAACGGACCCATCACTGTCCAGCCCGGCTAAGCACGCGGCGCACGCGCGCGGCCGGAGCTGTGGGAGCGGCCCAGGCACCTGTCCCGGGGCGGACCTGGATGTGAGCGGGCTGCCTTCCTCCCGGGAATGCAGCACCGGCTCTGCCACACCTAAAATCAGGAGGATTCTGGCCGCTCCTCTGACACCTGCCAGCTGGGAAGGAAGTTAAAGACTGGAGGTCGGACGGCCCGGTTCGCACGTGCGCTGAGCCCCTTCCTGGCTGTGGGATGCCGGGCGGCACCTGCTCATCTGTGCGGCAGACACAGTGGACTGCTCCTCCCCGCAGAGCAGGGCTTGCTTGGCACAGGCTTCTGTTTTTGTTTTGAAGGTTTTATTTATTTATTTGAGAGAGAGAGTGAGCAAGAGAGAGCACAAGCCAGGGGAGGGGCAGAGGGAGAGGGAGAAGGAGGCTTCTGCTGATCAGGGAGCCTCACGTGGGACTCGATCCAGGGCCCTGGGATCAGATGCTTAACCGACTGAGCCACCTGGGTTCCCGTTTTACAGTTAGTGCGGGGGACGTGGCAGCTACAGATAAACCACCCGCACCACAATATTATAACATTTGGCAGAAACGAGTGTTTTAATTCTGGAAGCCCTTCTGCCCCCGTGTATTTATACTTTATTTAAAAACATGGGGCGCCTGGGTGGCTCAGTGGGTTAAAGCCTCTGCCTTCGGCTCAGGTCATGATCAGGGTCCTGGGATCGAGCCCCGCATCAGGCTCTCTGATAAGCAGGGAGTCTACTTCCCTTCATCTCTCTGCCTGCCTCTCTGCCTGCTTGTGATCTCATGCTCTCTCTCTGTCAAATAAATAAATAAAATCTTAAAAAAAAAAATCACCCGATTAGCGGTAATGGATAACGACTGCGTGTCTGGGTGTATCTATCTGTAATGAATGACAGGCTGAGCATGGGACCAGTGCGGTGCCAACAGTGAAACACCAGGGGGCCACTCCCCAGTGACAGGGCACTCCCAGCTGAGTTTCCTTCCGTGCCACAGCTGGTTTCAGACACGGGATTTCACGGGGAGTCCTACGAGGTCATGCATGCAGTGAAAACGGTCAAACACAACTCTCCACTGGCAGTGAATCTAAGACTAATTCCCATCAGAGCCCACTTCTTCTTTTATTTTTTGAGATTTTATTTATTTATTTGACAAATAGATAGAGCCAGAGAGTACAGGCAGCGGGAGTGGCAGAAGGAGAGGGAGAAGCAGACTCCCTGCAGAGCAACGGGTCCCTTGCAGGACTCGATTCCAGGACCATGACCTGAGCCAAAGGCAGTTGTTCAACAGACTGAGCCACCCAGGCGCCCCCCAGAGCTCACTTTTTAAGGTGGACTTTGTGTGGCATCTTGTGAAAAACTTTTTGAGAGTGTAGATTAATTGGATCTATACGTTCCTGGTTATATGCACGTTTGTTTCTTCTTTTTTAAAGTAGGTTCTACGACCAATGCTGTCAAACCAGACGAGGGACTCCATCTCACAACCCTGAGATCAAGATCTGAGCTGAGATTAAGACTCAAGACACTTAACCAACTGAGCGACCCAGGTACCCTTATTTATTCTTTCTTAAGAAATCTGAGGAGGTCCCTCAAGCCTGCCTTCTCCTTTTGGAGGCCATAATTCTGCCTCCCAAGCAACTGCATGGGGCTCAGTGATTCCACTTGATCAGATCAGATCCTATGGCCACAACCCCTAAAGATGGAACCCTGCAGAGGGGGAGTTTTGTTTTTTTAAGATTTTATTTATTTATTTGACAGAGATAGAGCACAAGTAGGGGAAGCGGCAAGCAGAGGGAGAGGGAGAAGCAGACTCCCCACTGAGCAGGGAGCCGGATGTGGGGGCTCGATCCCAGGACCCTGAATTCCCAGGACCCTGAATTCCCAGGACCCTGAATTCAGGACTGGAGCGGAAGGCAGACACTTAACCCCTTAATGGACTGAGCCACCCAGGCACCCTGAAATGGGGAGTTTTGATGCAGGAGGAAACATAAACTGATACATTATTGCAAAGGTGCTTGTTCACGCATGCTCCATAGAGATGGGGAATTTCCACCCTGCTTCTGGCTACATCCTTGGGATCACGGGGTCCCTCCTTTGAACGGCAGTCACTCGGCCCCCTAGAACTTTCATCCTGCCTTGCGTTTCCTGACAACTCCCACCAGTGCCTGTGCTCCTGCCAGAGAAAGCCCATGACCACACTAACTGGCCCCATTCTCCAGATGAAAAATCACAAGATGGCTCTGTGCTGTTACATCTCACCTATGCCCAGAAAAAAATGGCCAAAAAGCAGTGAAAATGTTACAACTGTTGTCCTTCTTGCAATAAGGTCGTTTATAGGTTATAAGAACAGAGGGGGTTTTTTTGTTTGTTTTTTATTTTTTTTTTTGTTTGTTTGTTTTTTCCTATGGGACTGTAAAAGCAGAGTTTTATTTTGGGTGGCAGAAAAATGTGGCTCATAAACATTTTTATTTTTCCTGAATTGGACCCTGTGTTTAAAAAAAAAAAAAAGAAGGTTATTCGCTCCTTCTCCTGGGTCTGTGGAAGCCAGTTGGATTCAAAGGTATTAGTGTTATGAAAAGCCCTTTTAGAAAAGCACACATGAATTTAATTTATTGAGATAGGCAATTTCACATAGAAGTTTAGTTTCTGACCCTTGTGGGCATCCTAGAAAATCATGAGGCTTAATTTTGGTGTTTCAGTCTGTGTGCTCAGGGGCACGGATGGAAATTGTGATGGAGAGTGTGATGGAGAGTGACAAGTGACATAAGCAAAAAGGAGGCTGCGACCATCCCCAGTACCTGGAGGCTCAAGAGACACATTTTCCCTCCTGGTACAAGGAGGCCTGAATCAGTGAAATTCCCAGTTTTCTCTCATTATGGGCAAAGGTGCTCCAACTGCAAACTTTGTGAAGTTTATTTTCCTGGGATGCTTTTGTTTTCCTCAAACCTCTACTATAGAAGTAATACCTGTTCTTTCCAGAAAATTTGGAAATTTTAAATTACTCAGTGAAACACACTGATTTCTATCTTCTTTGTCTTTTTTTCAATGATATCTCTACTTTAAAAATAACAAGACATACTGAACTGTCATTTGGTTCCTTACTTTATTTCAATATATCTTAATAATTTCCCTGTGCGACTCAGAATTCTTTTGTACCATCAATAGCTAATAGTGGCCTAAGTGGTATATCTTTGGGATATACCACGATTAGTTCAATCAACATACCCCTTCTGGACACATCATATTGTCCCCTTTTTGAAATGAGCAAAAGGGGTGCCTGGGTGGCTCCGTTGGTTAAGCGACTGCCTTCAGCTCAGGTCATGATCCTGGAGTCCTAGGATAGGGTCCCACATCTGGCTCCCTGCTCAGCAGGGAGTCTGCTTTTCCCACTGACCTCTCTCCTCTCATGCTCTCTCAAAAAAATAAATAAAATCTTAAAAAAAAAGAAAAGAAATGAGAAATAACATGGGAATAAGTATCTTAGAGATAGCTATTGTTCACAGTTTTGATTAGGATAAATTCCCAGAATAAATTCCCAGACATGAGATAGCTATCTAAGCCACATGACAGGCACATTTTTAGGGACTAGACTGGTATCGCCAGTCTATACTATACCCCCCGGAGGGTTTGGACTAGCTCACCCTCCCACCAGCAGTTCATGAGAAAGCCTATTTCTAGAAACTGTATCAACACTGGGTATGGTGTTAAAAACATAACAAAGTAAAACATGTTTTGTTTTGTTTTTTTTTAAAGATTTTATTTATTTATTTGACAGAGATCACAAGTAGGCAGAGAGGCAGGCAGAGGGAGAGAGAGAGGGAAGCAGGCTCCCCGCTGAGCAGGGAGCCCCATGTGGGGCTCGATCCCAGGACCCTGGGATCATGACCTGAGCCGAAGGCAGAGGCTTTAACCCACTGAGCCACCCAGGCGCCCCCTCAAAGGAAAACATGTTTATTAGGACAGGATTATTCCCATTTCGCAGATGAGAAACTGAGACTCAGATCACCTTTAGACAGTGAGAGGGATGGGGTGCTGACCCCAGTGTACAGTTGTAGTTTCAATCCGCGGGCACCTGGGTGGCTCAGTGGGTCAAGCGTCTGACTCTTGATTTTGGCCCAGGTCATGGTCTCAGGGTTGTGAGATTGAGCCCCGAGTTGGGCTCCATGCTGGGTGTGGACCTGCTCGAGATTCTCTCTCCCTCTGCCCCTCTCCCCACCACCCGTGCACACACTCTCTCTAAAAACAAAAATAAAAGAAGAGAAAATGCAGGTGTAACTTTCGACTCCCCCCAAACTTAACTACTGATAGTAAGAACTGCGAGAGACTCCTTTGTATTATGATACACAATTTGCTGGAGACATGAACTGCTCGTGCAGAGATGATCAGCACCACACTGGGCATTTTAAGCGGATGGTCGTGACACGTGAGCTCACTACAAGGGCAACAGGAGGTGGTTACGAAATTATGATGTTAATTTTACGCGGTTATGATTCGATTTGTTTACCTTTCTCTCCACTCAAACAGCACCATGCACACTCTGCAAACATTTCTGTGTGTAAGTTTTGATACACTTTAACTTTGTATAATAGATGTGTGTATATTTATGATAGCATTTGACAAAGTAGACTAGTGTCTACATACATGTCCGCATTCATGACATACCGTTTAAACTTTTTTGAAATTTCTGTGCTATGCAGTTTGTCTGTTTTTTTTCAAATTGTTGCAGATCCCCAAATTTCTTCTAAGAGATTTACTGGGAAAAAAAAATCTGCATATATGTGGACCTGCACAGTTCCAACTTGAGTCATTCAAGGGCCAAATATACAGATAAAGTAACTTGGAAATAGGATCTACACTTGGACTTATTTGTTGGCTCGCTTATTTAATCCAACTGGTATGTGGGGGCATGCAGCTGTAATTCGGTTTACTGACTCTGACTTCTTGGGTCT